GCTTGCCTTCTCCCAGGCAAAGGCCCAGAGTCCCTTACTTGACATTTCTGCAGCATTATATACCCAATGCGTAGACTGGCATGGACGGCCACTAAATTAAATCTGCCTTGTTTTTCAGACATTACTTTCCTGAGAGTGTATATAATTCCATGATACAAAATGTAGGCGCTGTTTCACTCTTAGGTTCCGTGTCTGCATTTCAGTCTACTCAGATATATTAACATAAAGTTAATAGATGTTGGACTTTTTCTGTTTGGATTTGTTTATTTTGGATTTGTGCTTTGAAATAGGATCTTACTATGTTGCTCTTGCTGCCCTGGAACATGTTATCTAGACCAAGCTGCCTTCAAACTCACTGTGATCCATCTGCCTTGGCAACTTAAGTGTAGAGATTAAAGGAGTATGCCACCAAACCCAATTATGGCATTTCTGTTGATGGGGTTCAAAGTGACCCTTAGTACAAATAATTGAGATCCAGAAATGCATATTTGTGGCCTAGAAGGGTAATCATTTTTTTTTTTGTTTCCCCTAAGCTCATTTCTATCCTATCATAATCAGTGATCAGCAATGTTCCAGGGAACATTATGTGTGAGAGCAACAGGGGATGGGCTTGTAATGTTAAACCCTAGCAAAGATGACAAGTCTTGTCATTCAACAAGTCAAAGATCAGATACCAATATTGTATTGACATGGAGCGATGGGAACGCCTGAGCCACCTCTCTGTTTGCTCATAAACTGTCAGCAAAGAAACAACAGCGAAGAGCAAGGTGCACAAGACAAAAGTTGCCCATCCTTAAAGGATGCCGCCAAACACAACCAAGCTTGTTTAATTGAAACAATAAATTGTTTAATTAAAAGAAATGTCTATCTCCTGTTCATTAAGATATGCATCATGGAGATTCATTTTAGAACAAAAATCTAATATTGGCTTTGTAACTCGGTGCTATTTTTGCATGCTGCTCCCCTGCCTCTGCCTCCAGGATCATACTGGCTGATGGAGAAGGAAAAAAAAAATCTGCATTTAAACTCTGTGCACTGAGTCTATCCCAGTGTCTCAAATAAAATTAATAACTTCAAAAGAATTGCACCAGAAATTCTGATTAATCCAGAGATATCCATGGGAGGGCTAGAAAGGGCATGACTCTGAGACCTTGTGAAGACTTTAAGATTTACTTCTCTTAAAATGTGCATTAATATTTTTGGTTGTGAGCCTAGCCTTTAATGGCTGAGCCATCTCTCCAGCCTGTGTTGACTACCTAAGGGAGGCCTTAGCATCTATGAGGAGGGGATGGGAGTGGAATGAGAGAAAGTGTGTGGGGGGGAGCAGGAGAAGGGGAGGGAGGTGGAACAGGGATTGTTATGTAAAAGGAAAGAACTTTTTTTAAAAAATGTTCATTAACTTCCACTGATTGGTGGTAGATAAAGGCATTTTGAGACAACTCTGAAGGAAATTGGCATATTGGATACTGCCTATTGGTTAGGACAATAAATGAGTGAAATATGATTTTCTCTTAAAAAATAAGATGGACTTACAATAAGAAGGAACTTATTCTCACATATAAGATACACAGAGCTATCATACTTTTAAATACCTTGTTGATTTAAGAGATCTTATGATTTAGATTTGAGAGAAGTATGTAATGATGAGGAGTGGTCTGTCTCCATAAGTATTTTTCTAGAGAGAAGCAAGCCTCTAAACAACACAACAGGAATTTGCAGGCTGACCTGAAGGATCATTCCTTGATCTGACTGCTGTTGATGGGACTCTGATTGGGCCTCCCAGGAGTGCATGGCCTACAGCATTGATTCATTAGTATGTTTAGTCTTCATGCTAGCCCAAAGAAAGGTCCTCCTTGATTGAAATATTGTCGGGTTATCATCTCAAGAGGTCCATCCCTTGTCATTCTCTCTACCCACAATTAGGAAAAATAACTCTTAGCCTCATTATAAAGAACCATGGTAATCTAGGACCATAATCTGGAAACACATATTTAGGTAACAACACTGAATTTCAGGTAAGGACACTGTGTCTATTTCAATACATTTTATTCCACTTTGTTTTGACTCACTAAGGTAGATGCTTTCTATTCTTACTATTATATCATTTCTTTAAATCCTGCTTTAAAAAAAAAATAGGACATTGGGGCCGGAGAGTTAGCTCAGTGGTTAAAAGCACTGACTGCTCTTACAGAGAATTGAGATTCAATTCCCAGCACCCAAAGGGCAGCTCACAATCATGTATAACTCTAGTTTCAAAGAATCTGATGTCCACTTCTATCTTCTATCTGCAAATGTCTAGTGCACTTAAAGACAGGCAGTCAAAACACTCATACACATAAAACACAAATAAATATAGTCTGTTTAAAAACACACACTTAGGTTGTGTTGATGATTCCAGCTTGAAGACAGGTGTTTTATGTTCATGCTGCTGTCACCGACAGTGAAGATTTTTGTTTAGGAGAATTCCTTTAGATAAAGCACTGAACCAAATGCAGGTGTTAGTCTCCTCCTCTGATCCCAGTATCCCCACCTACTCAAAAGATTTTGATACAAGAACCCAAAACCAAGTTGAGAAAAACAGATTGTGTTGGTTGGAAAAGCAAAATCTTTAGAGAATCTTTCCTAGTTTTCCTTTACTGTGGAAACAAACACTATGGCCAAAAGCAACCTGGGGTGCGGGAGGGTTTATTTGGCTCACACATTCTAATCAAGGTCAAAGGAGGGAGTCAGGATAGGAACTCAAACAGGGCAGGAACTAAAACACAAGTCAAGGAGGTATGTTCCTTTGCTGGCTTGCTTCAAATGGTTTGTCTCATTTATGTAATGTTATTTCGACCCTCTAGTCTAGCTTTTCCCATTCTGGCAATAAATTCTTGTAAACAAACCCCATGTCTTTTCTTCTCTCTGATTTTCAAAATAACCTAAGCCATGTTTTGAAATGTATGTGATACTGTATCACAGGGCTGGATACAGAAATTTCTTTCTAAACTTTTATTAATCTCACAGGGTCTTAACTCAAGAAAGCCAAGAACTTGCTATCGTTGTGTTTATTTCTGACCATGACTCAACTTTGGGAAAACTGGAAAAGTAAAACTTTGATATCAGAGAGTCAGAAGAGTGGTACAACATGTCATGTGACCAAATGGGAGAGTAGAGGCAGAGGAAGGGAAGGGGTCAATGTGCTATCAATCAATCAAAAAACTTGGAGGTACAATTTACAAGAACTTTCCCAATTTCGGTAACATTTTAGCTCTAAACTCATACCATTTCCTAGTTGTATAAATTTAAGCCCTGCATGGGTTTCTGATATATATGGTAAGTGGTTTAACATAATCCATGATTCACAGTTTAGCCAGTTTTCAACACACAATACTGTATTTTTTAACCACACTTCTACCACCCACGTGATCCTTTCATCTCATATGTCCTACATGATCAAAAGTTTGTTTTATTTAACCTTATTGTCCCATTTCTTCAACTCTCCACTCTTGGTAATAATTCTCTGTATTGTTGAATGTTCCAACATTTTTATATTCCATCTATAAATACAGGCAAACATGTAAGTGGTCATGCAGATTATTTTCCATATCTTATCTATTTCACCTAGCACAATATCTCCCACATTTGTCCATGTCACCACAGGCAGGACTGCTAACTCCTACTTTAAAATAGTATTTCTTCTTCACAAGCTTCTACTCCCATCTAGTCAGACAGTAGAAGCAAGAAATGAGAAGAAGCCTAGACTGTGAAGTCCCGGAGTCAGCCCCAGGACAGAGTGTGCACTACCCTGATGATTGACCTGACTTAAGAAGAGCTGTGTCTTTAGAGATGTAGTACGTTTTTCCCACAAGAAGTTAAAAGCTTCATAGATCTTATTTTTGCTTCCCGACTTGTAATTTGATTTTTACCATTCCCATCAAATGAAAAAGACAGGTAACAGCTTAAAATGCCATTCTTTACAGGAATGTCTATATGTTAAAAGTAATTAGTCCCTAAAGCTTAAGCATCTCCAATGATGTTTGAGGCCATCTCCCAGAAATGGGGTAAGAATTTGGAAACAGCTAAGGAGGTGTCTTCCGAATGGCTAGGAGAATATCTAAGAGAGCTCTGCTGAGAAGAACATCCGACCCTAGCTGGACCTGTTTCAAAGGGGGTACTGCATCTTATGAGGTGAGCAGCAGCTATTTTTCTGAGCATAATTAGCTGAAGAGCCTCTGCTATAACGAGGCTTTTAAAAATACCTTGTTAACTGTGTTTCCCATAACTTAACAACTCGCTCTTTTGTGAATCACTTTCTTTGTACCCACTTCAAACAGACAGCAAAGGTCGACTTTGTTCAATTGTCACTAATAGGCTGTTGAATTCTAGACAATTCATTTTCAGATAAGAATATATTTAATATTGTTAATTGACCCTTGTAAGAACAGGGGATAAAGAGATAGAGGAGGGTAAGTGGACCATATCCATCCCCCTTCAAGTGCTGTTGTTGACTGAGGCCATTTGGCTATTATTCTCAGGAAATTATGATTCTGGTAGGTGCCAAACTGTGGCAAACAGACCAAAGTTTATTATACATGAAAATATATATATATATCAATAACTGCCTATGGCACAGGCATTATAGGGGCATGTGGAGTAAAAGCAGGAGGAAGTAGTTGGGAAAATGAAACTGCCTTTGTGATGCTGACATTGTGTGAAACACATTAAAACTAACTTCTCTGTACATATCCCAACAAATACTTCTGCTTGACCTGACCCTATAGATTTGAAACAGCTGTCAATGCTGGCTCCACGATTTTATGCAAAAACAACAAAAAAAAGTTACATATCAAAAATTGCATCAGAACTGTGAATCAGCACCTAAGGGGTTTGCAGAATGTAGAATTTGGAATGATCACACCATGTCACTACAAAGAAATAATGAGTCACAATGCCCTGATACGTGCAAGGTGGGAGTGATGTTTGGAACCTGGGTTCCTTATTCTATCTTGGCAAATCAGCTCACCATGCAAAGTGCCTTTTCACATATATGTAATAGCCTAGAAGAGAAACATTGAAAAGTGAAACAGGCTATCTTCTTAGGCAATCTGCAGTTTTCCTTAAGAATTAAAAAATTTCTTCAGTTAATGATGAACTTGGAAAAATGAGTGTATTTCCTAAATGAAATATACCTCATTGTGACCAAAGTCTCAACTAAAGAAGCTTAACTGTTGATGTCGTGATGAGCCAGGAGGTAATCCACATTAACAGTCCCTCTGTCTTCAACATTGTTAACGTGCATTGCCAAGTTACCACAATCCTGCCTTCTCCTTGTCTCTCAGGGGAAAAAAAAAAACAACAAATAAACAAAACCTCATATAATATCCAAAGCTAAGTATTTAACTTGATTTTTTCAAATTTAATGGAGAACATTCTGAGCCTTGTTCAAATTTTGGTGACTGAAGGAATCTACAAATGTGCCAATCAGCAGAAACCTGAACTCCCTAGTGCATTTGATTTATCAGTAATCGAATGTTTACAAACCAACTGTTAAAACAGAGAAGGGGAGAGTGTACCTTGAAAATGTTGTTCCTATCAACATGAGTCTTTATTGCCGAGATGCCTTCACCTCACAGACTAAATTTACTTCACCTTAAAACCCAGAGCCTCACAGTTTTGGCTAAGACATTGTGAGGGCCTGGCATAAGTGTCTGTCTGTCTTTTATTTCAGGAAGTCACCTTGTTCTCTATGACTAAAGTCAGAGAATGAACTTTCTCAAGCCACATGGTGAGTTTTCCCCATACTGGAGCTGTCTGATCTAATACAGCAGCTAGTCTTTCATTTTAAGTTGGCAATCTCCCCAAAACAAACCAAAGCACTAGAGAAAATACAAATTTATACCAGAGAATACAAATAAGGTGACCTTATTCTGCAAAGTTTCCAATTTTCAAATATTCACATATCAATTTCCATAAGCACCTTATCTCTAAAATGAGATTATGACTCCCGCACAAATCTAAGGCCTCTAGTTTTCCAAGATGGGAGACTACATTCTCTCTTGCCATCCCAAGGGTACAACATGTCGTTCCGAATTGCTTGCTCAGATGTATTTAAGGATTGTCTTCTGAAATCAAACCCTAATTCCTCCCCAGATAAATTTACAGGAGAAAGATTCAATCAGGAGCAGGATCCTGTTTAGAGATTTACCTCAGAAATGTGAATGGATTATTCTACCCAGTTGCTCTATGGGTTAACCTTTGATTACTGCCCTCAAGCCCTGTTTCTGAAAATGCTCATTCATAATGAGACTGTGCCTGGATATGTTCAAATAATATAAGAAGGTAGTTTCAGGTTTGTTTTCATATTCTCTCTAAAAGTGTGCCTGAGAATATTAACTGAGCTAAAAACTGTCTTAAAACTTAAATTTCCTCTACACACAATAATAATAATAATAATAATAATAATAATAATAATAATAATAATAATAATTGAAAAAAGTGAATAGAAGCTATATCTTCCCTTAACTTTCTCTGTTAAATTTCCTCTGGCATGAATGGATTGACTTTGGGCTACAGTCATTCAAATAACCACATGGGAATAGTTGCATGCCCAGAAAACTCCAACCCAAACATCTTAGAGAACAGATTCCTTAAGACATAGATAGCTCAGGGATCATTTGACAAGGCTGTTTTCAAGATGTGTTTCAAGGGAAGTGGGATTGACAGCCAGGCAGATATTAGCTATTTCCAAGTAAACCACAAACCCTAAAAGTCCCCTCAGAATAACCACAGAACCTAATAAATGCCCAGGACATTAACAGAAGGGCAATGGCTCTATGGCACTGGGTAGGTTTGTTTGTATTATGCCAACTGCAAATGGCCTGTACAAAGCTGGCATCCCACATCTGCAGCTGAGTACGAATTCCCAAGCTGGAGACATCTACACTACACCATTCCCTTGGAATTCATGAAGAATGCATTCTTGCAGAGTCCAGAAAGCATATGATGGTAATACTACATCTGATTGTACTGTTTCATAAGGTCCTTTTAATGGTGGCACAGGGTGACTTGAGTGAAAGTAAATGGGGTTGGGAGGAGACAGTGGGTACATGGGTGACTGAGTTGTGCAGTAGAAAGTTCTAACTTACCCTCAAAGTAAAAATGTCCACATGTCATTTCCTTCAAAGACTAAAGCATGAGTGTGTGACATTAGCAAGCCACGTATCTACTTTCTGTGAATCACATCATTTAAACCTGAAGGATGGAGTTTGCTTGACCAAGAACACCTAGCAAAGTACCTGGTTCTAGCCAAGAGCTCCCAAGTCTTTGTCAGGTATATTTAAAAGTGAGTGGATAAATGAATTTAATAGTCAAAATAATAGCATCTAACACGGCTGTTTGTTGAATCTGCTCTATGGAGCAGCTGGAAGTATCATAAAGGAGCACATTTGGACATCAAATAGAACTGAGATCCAAGCAACCTTCCTATTTATTCTAAATCCCTACTGGGTACCACTGATAATACCAGTAAGCATTATTTAATTGCTTCTAATTTATTTCATCATCAATTATATTTGAGAACAAATTACAAGTGTTGATGCCAAATAAAAGTATCATTAACAAAATCTGTGAATATTGTAAACAATGGTAGCATCATCTAAATGGTGATATATTAGAATGTTTTTTAAAGTGCTGAAGACACAATAAACATTGGAAGTCATTGGTTTTTTTTTTCTTTACTTTTTTTTGTTGTTTGTTTTGGTTTGGTTTTTAGGGTCAAATACTTAAAAGGAAAATCAAAAATTCTGTAAATTGGTTTATTTTTATTACTGGTAAATTAATATTATAAGATATTTTGTATCTCTCTTTTTCTCATGGTAATTTTTGAAACATCATTACAATCAAAGTATTCAACCATTCTTTAAATTGAAAAGTAGGAGCAATGACATAATACTTCAGATAGCTCAAGAGCATCTTGAAGGCCAGGCAGTAGTGGCACACTCCCAGCACTCGGGAGGCAGAGGCAGACGGATCTCTGTGAGTTTGAGACCAGCTGATCTACAAAGTAAGTTTTAGGATATACTTCAAAAGCTACACAGAGAAATTCCATCTCAAAGCACACACACACACACACACACACACACACACACACACACACACACACAAAGCATCTTGATTTTGAAATAACCTTAGGATGCTTCCTAAGAGGGCATGAGTCCTCATTAAATAGTACAATTATTTAGCTCTGGATTGTGTCTACCTTGGTACTGACACTACTAATTGCTAATTGTACTAATTGCTACTACAATTTAATTCTTGAACTTGAATATAATACACATTGTCACCTTCTTTAGAATTCCATCCCTCCTGCCAGTAAATCAGAGTTCCTCCCTGATTCATGCCCTAGATGAGGTCAATAAGTTAGCTCCTTCAAGAGCCACTACGGAATAGCTGCATGCAAATAGGTAGTTCAAGGCTATTGCCTTCTCTGAGCCTCTGGGCCATTAGAGATACAGACAAATAAATAACATTCACTGTGTTTTAAGTAACTGGAAATAGCTTAATAAAATTCCGTGAACTAAGATGAAGCTTGGGGGAAAGAGCCAGAAAAATGTGGGTTCTGACTATGATGTTAATTTTCTATGTTAACCATAGAGTCACTAAACTTCTTTCATCTTGGTTTCTTTCTATGCCAAATATATGTGCCTCTCAGACACATTATTAAAAAAAATAATTGATTGAAGACATAGGTAGGAAAAAACTGTTGCAAATAAAAGCACTTAAATCCAAAGTGCCTCTCATGATGGTCAGCCTGTGTTAAGTAAAGTGCTGTCCTGTTTTCTATACACAAGTCAACACTTCAGGCCCAAGCTTATAGAGAAGAACAGCTGTAGCTAGAGTTTTCCTGCCTGGCCCACAGTCA